TCAAAATCTCATCAACCTTGATTTGGGTGGACGTTGCCTTCAATGGTCCAATCACATCTTTGAAAAAACAGTGAAAAAAACGTCGATCGGTTTACTTGACATAACTTACGAAAAGAGCCTTACTGTTCATATTAACATTCAGCGACTCAGGACCCTAATAACAGAGTTCTTGGCTCTTCCAGTATCTGGTTTGAGGCAATATATAGCCACTAATGGCTCAAAACCGTCTTCAAATTTCCCACCGTAATCCCGAGTAATAGAGTGGGTGATTTATCTCATACTATAAATCTAAGTTCAAGCCTCCTTTATCAAATGGTACTTGATGACAAGGAAGAGAGTCAGTGGAAAGAGAATTACAAAGGATTGCAAAGTGTGTACTTACTTTTAGGACACACTATAGTTTTTACAGCGGCAGCGCCCTGGTGCAAACCTTATCCATTTGAGTTGGATTTTACTCAATAAATTGATAAGCTCAAGCAAAAACAATCCTATTCATTTGGATGCGTCAACATAATTTACAGAAACAGCTCCTAAATATCGATTTTTTAGACTGCATTGGACGCATTCAACCTTCAACACTTTATCCCAAGCAATTACTCGCATAAGTGTGATAATGCGTACCATGAATTGCTACACACTGAAACAGCAAAAGAAACCAGAATAATCTAATTTGTGACCCTTCGGAGCATTACGTTTCCCCATTTTACTAGACTTTCACGATTACCTTAACCTTTTATCAAAAGCAGACTAATTGAGCATCAAAAAACGCATATTTGGGGAATAGATCTATGTTATAAAATGTTTCTATAGAGTATTGTGTGCAACGGTAGGGTAGAAATCACCAGTTTGCATGAATATAAAAAATTTTGCTGTCACGCTATAAGCATTACGTTAAGCAAGTCTCCAGATTTTCTCGTTTTGAATTCATCTTGAAGCGATACATTCTGAGATACATGGAGGAAAACGATCCTTCATTGTAAATAAGGAGGATGCAGAGCGAAAAAAGCAACTGCGAGATAAGGATTGAAATCCACGGTCTTACATTTCAAACAAGATTTCTTTAGCGATAAGAGAAGTGATAACGAATTTGAATAATGATGTGGCAATCCCGTCAAAAACATCTTACCTCGAATATCGGAGAAAAGAACGGTTGCGCACTGATACAGTTGAGGTAAAACTGGCTTGCCCACTTTGAGATCTTCGGCGATACTCCTAAAATATATTGTAAAACGATAGAAAATCAATTGATTGGATGATAATTGATTTAATGGTGCGAAGTTGCGTCAAAGCACTTGAAGAACTACTACAATACAATACCGCTCGCAAGTTGTGAAAAGTATTACCTTTGCCAGAGTTCGCCAAACTTCGGTTGCCTCGCCATATCTTGCTTCGAAGTGGACGAATTCTCAATCTAAAACCACCTTTAAACTCAGCTCGATGAGTTGCATCTCTTGATATACAGAAGTGCATGTTTGGACACGATAGTGGGTCAAATTTCAAGGATCCTTAAAGATTCTTGCTCACGGTAG